GACAGCAAAGTCTTAAGAGGTTGAGTTGGTTAAATGATCATCACAAATGTTCCGTGTGATTTCTAGAAATGACCAGACGAGGATTGTGGCTAAGTACAAGAGGAAGCAATCTAATAAATATTGTGGCCAAGAGAATAAAGAGCTTGAATTTATAGAGAATATGGAATGGAAAAGTGAATGTTTCCTGTCCTCTGGATCTTAGATGATTTACAGATACAGGGCTGGACATTGGGTACAAAACTAGACCTGTCACTGCTGCCACACTGGGCCAAGCCTGTCATGGCCTCCAGCTTCTAGCCTTCCCTGCATGGAGCTCTTTTCAAGTCGCCAGTCAGAATGAGCCTTAACAAGGCAAACTGACTCACCTGATGAATCCCACAGCATCTCACTCCACAAAGCACATCCCAAAATCTTTACAAGGGCTTCCAAATCCCTGCTCCTCAGCCTGAATCCCTGCTCCTCAGCCTAAGAACTCACTTAGAGTCTTCCCTTAGACTCACCCACTCCTGACCTTCCTGCTACTCCCTGGACATGGCAGGCTGGCCATGACATTTGTGGTTAAATGTTCCTCTCTGGGCTGAAAGCATCTGGCTGGCTAACAGCAGACTGGTGGTGTTGCCTTCAGTTTCTCTCATAACTGCTGCAATCCTACAGCTTTCGTGCCATTAAAACCAGTAGCACAAGGGAGACTCACACTTTACCAAGTTCCGCTGCCTACTAGATGTGCAGCCTTGGCCCTCTCTAGGCCACCGTACCTCTGGGCTGACCCTTCTGCTTCCCAGAAGATTTCACTCAGTGATGCCAGACTCTTATTAATCACAGCTAATTATTCCGTCACAGTTACGCAAAGGTTTCATTTCCAGATTCATAATGCAAAATATCATATAAACAGCTGAAACTTCTTCACAAGCCATGCCTCCATCATGTACACTATTCTTACCTTCAAAGCTCCCCTAACAGCTCTTTAAGCACTCAACAGCTTTTTTCCAGTCCAAAGTTCCTAACACCTTCACAATTTTCCCAAAAGAAGACAGTCTTGATCATCACAGCAACGGCCCACTCTCTGGTTCTAGTTTGCTTTGTTTCTGTGATAAACACCATGACCAAAAAGCAATTTAGGGAGGAAAGGGCTTATTTGGTTTACACTTCACAACCCCAGTCCATCATTGGGAAGTCAGGAAAGGATCCATGGAGACATATTCTATCCTTCCTGGTTCTGCTCAGCTTGCTTCTTTCTGCAACCAGGGGTGGCACTACCCAGTGGGCTGGGCCAGCACACCTCAAGCATTAACCAAGAAAACGCCCCACAGACATGCCCAGGAGCCAATCCCACAACTGAAATCCCCTCTTGCTAAGTGGCCGTAGTTATGTCAAGTTGACATATACACCTCACCCCATTTCCCAGACACCCTGTAGTCTGAGATATAGTTCACTTGTTTACTATTCATTGCTGCTATCTCCTCTACCAGGAGGAGCAAGCACTACAAAGGTTGAGACTTTGCTCACTCAAGTTTCCTAAGCCCAAAAGAAGACATGTACAAACTAGGCAGTGATATCAGCCTGCTGAATTCATGAACTGCTACCAAGAGATTAAAAAGAAAGAATCAGAGTAAAGAAGTTCTGCTGTCACTTTTAGAATCTCCTAATGCAGTTTTACCACCATCCAGATGCTCATGCCCCACCCTGGAAACCACTCTAAGCTCTTAGCCTCTGATCCCCTCACATCACCGGAGGTTGCCGGCATGATCTCTGCCATCTCTAGAATACCATCCCCTTTCTACTCCCACTGCACCAGCTTATACTTTTCACAGCTGAGCTTCTCTGCTTTAACTGGGCCTCTCTTCTGGATCCGTTAGGCAGAGCAAAATGGTAAATAGGTAAAATAAAGGCAGAATGAAGACTGGTCAGCAACAAGTCAACATTCAAAAATGAATGTTATCTCTGTTTCTTTCTCTCCTATTCATGTAATGATTCATATACTCTGAGGACCAGTTCAAATCTCAGCATTTCTGAAGACTTTCCCAATACCTTTAGGCAAAGTACATGCTTTTCTCTCTCTACTGAACCCATTCAAGGACTCACTGTAGCAATTGTTAACAAATATTGGCTGCCCCAGTGGACAGGAATCTGGTCTTGTTCTAGCACAGGACCTGGCATTAGAAAATTTGTGCAACAGATAAATGAAGACTTTGTCCAGAATTGGCAGTTATAAATAAAACTTGGGCAAAAGATGGCTCAGTGGGCAGGGTGGTGGTGGCGCACGCCTTTAATCCCAGCACTCAGGAAGCAGAGGCATGTGGTGTGGATCTCTGTGAGTTGGAGGCTAGGCTGGACCGACAGCCTCCAAAACAATACAATGAAACCCGGTCTTGTAAAACCAAAAAAAAAGAGAGAGAAAGAGAGAGGGGGGAGGGGGAGAGGGGGAGGGGGAGAGAGGGAGAGAGGGGAGAGAGAGAGAGAGAGAGAGAGAGAGAGAGAGAGGGATAAGACACTAAAGATGCCCACAAAACACTGAATTGAGAAATTAACCTTCTAGAAGTTCACATAGAAATGCAGACACAGAGGAGCTAACCCAAAGCAAGTTGGTTATTCAACCATAAACAAATTAATTCGGCTGACAAAACGTTAATGCTATGAAAACAGTTTTGTTAGGGAAAGCGCTATAAAGTATACTGTTAGTCTTACTAACTCCATTTCCCATAGATACTCCAATCTGTAAAACTCAAAGATGGCTCAAAGAAGGTCTCAAAAACCAACAAAATAGCTATTAAAACTACAACTCTATACATACTGACCTTAAAAAAACACTGTAATTTTCTTATAAAAAGTCCACATTTTACAGATGGGTATATTATCTAAACTAGTGCTTAAAATATTTACTTTTAAACATTTATCTGTGTATGTGTTCACATACATGTATGCAGACATGTGTTTGAAGGGCAAAGGCTAACATGGGATATCTTTCCCAATTACTTTTCCAACTTTTTTGTGTATATGGTGTAGGTCTATGTGGTTCGGTGTGCAGGTTCACAGGCACATGTATGCATGGTGTGGAGACCAGAGGCTGGTGTGAGGCATCTTTCTTAATCACCCTACAGCTTATTTTGTGAGACAGGTCTTTCACCAAACCTAGAGCTCACAGATTCAGCTAAACAGCCCGCAAGCTCCAAAGATCCACCTTTCCAGTGGTGCTAAGCACTGTCCTAAGCATTTGAACACATTATAATGTAAGTGTAAATAATTATCCAGATTTCACAAAGGAAGAACTTAAAGGACAGGAAGGTACAAAGAAAGTCAAGGGCAATGACTTGTAAAAGAAAATAACTAGGAAAGGAAACAAACAAGCAAAAATATATCCCATCTACAAAGTAAGTTTCTGCATTACAAAAAGTTCTTCCAGTTCTGCAACACAAGAACACACTGTCCAAACTAGTCCAAACAATCTTCCATGTATTTTGTTCTATAAATTTGTATCCAAATGGGAATTAAGGTCTTCTCAGGTAATGGTCTAATTTTCATTCACCACAAGAAAAATACTAGAGCAAAATAACTGCATGAAATAAGACACACAAGTTGACAACAGTAGGACAAGTGTGTATCCTTTCCGTACCCTGTGCCAAGATAAGCCTGAAGCCACACCACTGCTTGTTACCAGAAACAGGAACACAAAATGTTCATGAAGACTACACTGAAGAATTTAAAAGATAAAAACTAAAGAACAATTTTTGAAGACAACACGTTAGTTTTCTAAATCACAGAGCTAAGCATTCTTTGGAAAAACTAGTCACATATTTTTTTCTGCTAGGCAAATTTGAGCCTCTCCTGAGACTCTTGCCTTTACCTTGCTCAGTCACAGAAGTAGAGCAGCCTAACAGGGTCAACAGTCTTCAGTCCTATCACTCCAAAGACTAACTGCAGACTGCCAGTTTGTACACGCACTACACCCTGAACAGTGGAACTCATTGTAAATGGCTATTGACTAGCTGAGCCTTCTCCAACATAACAGTCTACTTTCTACCTCCCTGAACACTACATAACAAATTAATGCAACAACATAATAATAAAAGTAAAATCAATCCGATAGCTCTGGTCTCATGTCATCATCATTTTAGATTCTCCATCAAGGGAAAAAGAAAGTCTACACAGCTACTGGAACTCCAACAGACCAACTAGAAATCTAATAGATCAGTTCACAGTTACTAAAATCCAAGCTGTGACAAAAAAATGTTTTGTAAGGCTTTTTTTTTTAAAGCAACAACATTCTTGGCATACATAGTACCTTGCAGTTTGCTTTAAAATGCTTGAACTACAACACTTTTTTTTCCTTCTACATAGCCTAACTTTTGAATTAGAAGAAAGCTAATTCTACTGAATGGAGAGAGAGTGCTGCTTTAATAGCAGTGCTGTGAATTCAGTGAAAGATGAAGGTAAAAACTCATGAAAACAAGCCAGCAAGTTCTCTTCCACATTCAATTCACAAACTGAACCAATCGCTCCTGGCTTACGGAACTTAAAATGTCACATTGCTATCACACACAATTTCAAAACAATAATTCATTCATTCTGAAAGCTAATGCCAATCAAAGTTAATCTTTATAAAATATAAAGGCTTCTCAAAACACAAAGCACACAATACAGAAATGCAAACTAATCCATTTCCTAAAGTAAGCACTATATAAACCATAGCTTACATTTGCTTTGTGTCAATTCAGCAAGGCAAGCCAGGGCTGCCTTAGCTTGGCAAGACTCAGAATCTCAAGATTCCATCTATTTTGTTCTATAAGGTCATAACCAAATGAGTGTTAAGCTCTTCTCAGGTAATGGTCAAAATTTCATTCATCACAAGAAAAATACAGGAGCAGAAAGACTGTATGACATGAGACTCACAAGTAGACAAAACAATAGTTACCTTAAACCAAGCAAACAGGCATGCAGGATGAGACTGAAAGCCTACCCAACAAACAACTGAATCGTAGGACATTAATTGTGGCCCTCCTTACCTGAGGAGCTCTCGGTAAACACTGTCAATGTCTGTCCTCCAACGCTTTGCAAGACAAATGGATGCTCTCTAGGAGCATTGACTGAAGTTGGTTTCTTTCCAATATTATGAATATTTGCAAGATCTTCGTTTAAAGTAAACGATACCTAGTGGACAAATTAACCACACTTATTAAAATAGACATTTATATTCAAGGTATCTATATAAACATTTTGATTATAAATTATTTTTTATGTGAGTTGAGTCTCTTAAACATTTATTTCTTAAATATCACCCTGAAGTCCTTAAGCTTATAACAAGATATTTATCGCCATGTGTCAGAATGACGGAACTTGTCTACAATGTCTTCTCTGGTCTGTGGCTGAAGAAGTCTTTCCAGAACATGACTGACATTACTTTTTTACTAATACATTCCCTAAGACCTTGCACATGCTTGGCACACAGAAGGAAAACATTTGTTGAATGAGTATTTTAATACTAAGAAATCAACTGTATCTGAAAAGGGTAAGGGTCAAGCTAGTTATTCTAAAAAGCTTAAACACTCAAATTTCATTTTTAGGTTTAACAACTGTTGCATGAATATATGGTACTATGTTATTTTAAAATACTGTAAACTATTCCATTTTGAAGAATAATTCAGTCATATGGTATAGAATAAAAGGTATTCTCTCCAAATAATTTATATCATATGCCATCTCTCCCTGAAAGAACAAATTGTATATTAAAATTATCTATAAAATCACTGGCTTTCCAGCTAGACAGGAAAATCATGAACTACTAACTATATAGCTAATATTATGATAGGTACCACATACACAGTACAAATTATACTCAACAGTTTAAAATCTAACATTCTTAAAATTCTACATCAAATGTCTGTGTCCCACAGAAGTAATGCTGAAGTTTTACTAAAGCCATATTCTGTTTCACAATGCTGTTAGGTAAAAGAAGAAAAATGCTCAGACTGAATTAAAAGAGTCCATTCATTCATCCAAGTAGCATTTATACCTTAATGTATTTCTGACCAATCAGCCATTCATTTCAATTAAGAGTTTTCCAGAATGCAAACAACTATTATTCACTGTGGTTTGTTGTTAATGTTGATTTTTGTGAAACTGAATCTGAAGCAGCATAGGCTGGCCTGGAACTTGCTAAGTAGCAGAAGATGCCCTTGAACTCCTTGTCCACCTGTCCCTTCCTCCCAAGTGCTGGAATTATAGGAATACCAGGCACAACTCATAATTTCAATAAAATTTCCATATAAATAATCTCACCTCAGTCCTTCCTTGATTCCTAAAAGAGAAAAGAAATATTTAGTATTACTTAGATTGCATATTACTTTCATATATAAGGAAAAAATCTAAAGACATACCCATTCTTATTGCATAAAACATTAAATTTATTTCAACTAATGTTAATCTTTTGCTCCTATTTTTAATCCTGTACAAAGATTATTAAAGTAACCCCACAAGTTTATTTTATGAACTTGCATCACATAACACTACTATAACCACTTCTAATTATATTAACCTGATAATGATCTTCTAATTCTCATTATTTCTAAGAATTTTTAGCTTCTAGAAGCTCACTACTAAAATCACAAATAAACAGATCTCGCTGGAAGAACGAGGCAAAGCAAGGGAAGAGTTGGGCTAGGGTGTAGCTCAGTGTAAGAACATTGGGTTCAATCCTAGGGCTTCCCCCTCTAAAAGGGGAGGAAGGAAAAGATGGAGGGAGGAATGGAGGAAGAAGGGGAAGAAATAAAAAGAGAGTTAAGGATCAACTATGGAAGACTTTAAATATCACAGCCCAAAGCTTAGACTTTATTCTTTAGGCAATGATGACCTGCAGACACTATTTGAACAAAAACAAGTTCAAAGATGATCCAACACACTTGACTTGTACCACAAAATATATAAATGAACTAAAGACTGAAGTGCTGTTTCTCCTTGGCACTCAGCTTAGTTCTAACGTGCCTTCACTCTGCCATTACAAGTCTTCTATATCCATTAGGCACTGACAAGAAGCACAAGTCCTTGTCCTAAAAAGTCCCAGAGCAGTCTGTAACATCAACCTGCCAGGTTAAGATGTGTCCACTGGTGTACCGGTGGCTTGTCTGTTTCAGGGATAGCAACTGCTCTTTGAATGGACTTAAGGCCTGCTCCACAAGAGGGGAATTCATACTTGATACTTGAAACCTGGTAAAAAAACTGATGGTTGGTGGAGCTGGAGATGGCTCAAGGGTTAAGAGCACTTGTTGCTCTTGCAGAGGACCCATGTCTATATCCTAGCACCCACATAGTGGCTCACAAACATCCTATCTCTACTTCCAGGTGATCCAAAACCCTCTTCTGTTACCTGCACGTACATTACATGCAGGCAAAATAATCATATGCATAAATAAAAAATAAAAATAAACCACAGCAGAGTGGTGAACTTAATACTGCTATTTAGCTAAAATGTCATGGTGCCAAGCTGCCTTCTAAATATTTATGTTTATACTCATAAAGCTATGCTACTCCCAGCTTAACCAGAGAAGCCTCTCTTTGCAGCCAACAGTGATGAATGCAGAGGCCATGGCTGCTCAAGGGGCTGAGAAGAGTGATGGCTGAGTGCTCATTCCTCAACAGGACATTTATATCACTGCCTCTGAGACTCAGGACACAGGGAGGAAGGGGAGGCAGAAAGAAGTCAAGAGCCAGAGACAGAGAGAGGGGCTGTGAAATGCTATTTTCTGATCATGGCACAACCAATGCAGACATGACCTCAGAGCAACTCTGGCTGTCTATAATGAGCCACATAAGACTTGTGGCTCTTCCCTTCCCTGATGAATTACTACTGATGTAGTCTAGGAGAAGGGCACTCTTGAGTGTATATTCACTGAGGAGCTTTGAGACTCCAGAAGACAATTCCAAACCCATGGTCACACAAGTGATCCTGGTTAAACTCAGTGGCACTCAAAGAACAAAACAAACAAAAACAAAGGATAACAAAATCATGAATGTGGGAAGGGAAAAGTATTATGGGTTGAAGATTAGAGAAGTAAGATAACCAGGATGCATGTTATACAGGTATGAAATTATCATAGAAGAAACTCAGTAAAAGTTTTGTTTTTTTTAAAAAAACAAAAACCCACAGGGTTAAATCCATAAAGAATTATAAACAAATAATTGGTATCTTGTCAAACTGGTCCAACAGAAGTACATAGAGTGTACAAGGCACAGGGTCCTTGTACTCAGATAAGTACTGGGGAAACCAGGAAAATTAAACAAGCAGGGATGTCTCTTCAAGAGAAGAGAGATACAACCTGTTTTCTACCCAGAAGGTTGGGAATGGATTATCTGTAGGGCTAGGCCACATCTGACTCAGTCATGCCTCCCTAGACCTTTACCCTGAGCATTGTTTGCCACTCAACAGAATCCATCTGTAGTGGTTTGAATGAGAATAGCTTGCATAGGCTCACTGATTTGAATAGTTGATCATCAAGTATTTATCAAGTCACCATCTTTATGGGAGATGTCATATGTGCTTTTATATATACATTGTACCCTCTATGCTATCTGTATGACCTAGACCACACCAGATTGTTCCCTAGGCCCTTAAGTATAGGACCCATATTTATGGAAGAGGTCACATGTACTTTGCAAAACAGTTTCAATGTAGTCATGCCTAAGTGTTATTTTGCACACGACTGAGTTATCAGGAAACTTTTTTCCAAAATTGTACTGTACTTAAAAGATGCCCAAAATAAACTGCCTAGTGTCAGACTGTAAATTTGAAATGACAGAGGTTACTGAGTCATGTTGAATGGGATTGTCATCTTGCCTCATGCAGATCATTACTCTGCTGGCCCTGGTGTTCACAGACACACACACACATACACATACAATACGGTACATTGTCAAGAAGTGCAGACTAAAAAGCCAGCCAGGAAAAAAGGAAATAAGTAAAAAAAAAAAAAAAAAGTCAGAAATAAATAAAATGGAAAAATTTCAGGCTAATATAGACTATTCCAATTAAACAACAAAATAAGAAAGTATCTAGTGCATCCTCTAACACAAGAAGAGCAGCCTAATATTACGTAGTAAAAGGGCCTTTGATCAAAGTAAGGATTCTAAGGTATTTTATAGGTATGGGTATGGGTGTTTTGCCATGTGTATGTAAATGTACCACATGTGTGTCGCACCTGCTGAGCAGCCTGCATCCGAGAATGTAGCGAGGTGGTCGGGATAGATGGCACAGAGACCAGTCGGTTGCGTTAAGAAAACGTTATGCTTCCCAAGAGCTTAGGAGAACTCCCCAAGAAAAAAACGCTTCCCTTTTTAAAGACTTCTGCCATCCATACACACACAATTCTCCACCCGAGCTCTCACACACCTCTCACAGCTCTCCCAGACTTCTCACCCTCCTGGCTGGTCCTTGAATCTCCAGCACCAGAATGGGGAGAAACAGCAGGGAGCAGGAAGAAGCATCTAGCCATAGGGGGGGATCAAAGTCACGGTGTTTCAGTGAGCGAGCCCTTATCGGAGCCCTATCAAGAGCTTTATGGCACTGAATTGTTTTCAGTAAACATTATCTAGCAGCTGCCAGCTCCCAGGCTGATAGAGGGGTGGGTTTCCGGCCAGGGTCTGTGATCCTCACACATGTGTGCATGGTCCTTAGTCCAGAGAGGATGATAGATCACTTGGAATAAGAGTTACAGTTGTGAATTGTCATGTGATGCTGGGAATTGAACATTTTATTACCAATTTCTCAGTCTTTCTTTACATATTGGCAAAATACTATGGAAAAGGGAGAGATTTTGTTGGGCCCCAGCCCCATGGGGTCTCTGTGAGTTGCTGGTCAGCTTACAAGTGCAACTTGTTTTCCAGTCCAAGTGCTTTCTGTTTTCTAGTCCTGGCTTACTGCCCTGGCCTTGACCCTCTGACATCAACATCCAGCAGGAGGAAAACAACGATCTCTTCTACCTGGGGTTTTTTCCACTGTGCTGTAAACCTGTATAAAAAGCTCCTCCCTCCTACAAGGAAGAGACCTCTTAGCACTTGCAATGAAGACACACACACACACACTCTCCTGGCAATAAAGGCAGCACATGCATTCTCTTAGTACAAACAGCTGGATGTCTGGTCTCTCTTTTCCTGATACCCTGGACTTGGTTGTGGCGCTGGCGCGGCAGATTTCACATAAAATAAATGAATTTCCATCTTCTTTACAACACTTGAAGAATTGGCAACAATGGCCTCAAATTCTACTTGACAACAACCCCACACATGAGCTCGGGTCAGGCCCCTTTCTGAACTTATTTCTTGAGGTGTATGGCACAGCTACCTTTAATACCCAGAGATGCAGACAGAGAAGGGCAGAGCTGCAGACGACCACCCTCCAATGTTGACTGGACCGAATGGAGGTGAACAGAAAAGGGGATGAAGGTTTGAGCCAGGTGGTGGTGAAATGCAGGAAGAAGTTCACAGAGGGTTGCTGAGCTGTCAGAACTGACAGAGGAGGGAATGGCTGCAAGTGGGCAGCAAATGAAAAAGGATGAATTAAAGATCACATTGACATTTCCAGTCTGGATAACTAGAAAATCACCCAGATGCAATTAGGGAACACAGGAGGGAAGGGGAGCTTCCTTTTTACATAATTACAGCAACAACTTAGCTGGAATGAGAACAGATTAATGAGCTCTGACAGGTTAACTTCACAGGAAACAAAAGCTCGTCTTTGAAAAACTGTAACCTTTTTTAAAAAAGGTGGATGCCTATAGCTTTGCCTTGGTGTGTATAGTTATGACATACAGTGTATGAAGTACACAAGACTTTATTGTCCCACATTAAAACTATCACATTCTTTTGCCTAACGATGTGTGGATAAAATGGCCAACACCAACTAGTTTTCTAAACAATATGTTAAAAAAGTAACGAGGTAAGTATCTGGCCCATCCTTGAGAGTTTATCACAATGATACTGATTTCCTCATTCACTACTCAGAGCCATTTCTCAATACACACAGCACTTCAAGCTCCACTCATTCCTCTTGCTTTAAAAAACAAAAACAAAAATCATGTTTGTTCTTCACTTTTAAAGTATTTCTTGGATCTGACATCAAAAGTCACAAGTTCTTATTATCACTGATAGACAATAAATTTTCTTTTCCCAGTTAAGAAAACCAACCAAATAATATGAAATCATCAACTACATTGGAGGGTCTCTGCTGCCTGAACAATTAAGCTCAAAAGCCATTAGGTAATACCAAGTGAGACAGATATCTGAGGTAGGCTCGATAGTAAAGTCATG